CTTAAAAACCATAAAAATCTATAGGCCAGACCCTAGCGTGGTAAGCCAATGTGTTTAAGCGGATAAATTTGACATGAACTCTCAACAACTTCATGTTTACTAGGCCCCTAATCTTAAGCACTTGGGTTATTTTAATTAAAAAACCTAAAGAAAAAAACATAAGAAACCTTACCTAAATAATAAGTTAAAAACAAGTGCTCTTCTACCATTCATTAACAAGGAAGCTTAGAAGTTCTTTCCTACGTGAGAGGAATACTTACTATAGAGATGTGCCTGCACGTGCACACCATTCTTGTACTTGCTGACATAGCACGTCAGCAAATACAGATACACAGTTAATACAAGTCATTACAACAAACTACAAAACAATTCATAACATTAGAGCATTATAACTTTAAACAACCTAAACATTTGCATAACATCCCACTGTTTTTTTCTTTTCATCTACTAGGACAACTCATAGCAAGTGCAGCAATATCCAGCAAAAAGCTTACTACACACGCCTTCGCTTGTTTTTAAGGTTCTCGAAAATCTGGTTGACATCAGCTGCTGTGATTGCCTTTGATGGATCAACTGACCCCTAAAGATATAAAAATATATATATTCTTAGAGGCAGTAAATTGCTTTCGCAAGATACATAAATGAATAATCTGATGATGCCAGAACATGAAAAATATGTATGGCTTTTCCTAGAACTTATCTTGCAATGTAATCAGTAAAGGTTAGCTATTAAAAAGATATACAATCAATGGCATACCAGGAAGGAACGGAACTCATCTGTAAAGTCCGCAATGCCATTCAGAATCTCCATTTTCTCTACATGACCAAGATTGTTAAAGAAATTTACTGCAGCACCCTCCCTTTGCTGCAACTTTTCTTCCCTCTTCTGCTTTGCTGTTTTTTCATACTCTGCTATTGAGTCCTCCTTATCAAGTAGATAACTGATATGCTTCTGCTTGTGCATATCCACGCACTTGTCACATCTGCAGAGGGTATCTCTCCAGTTTTTAGAAAGAAAAAGGGGTTTACTTTCTGAAACCACTAAGTCTGCTCCAAGAATACAAGTAGCATGTGAACTGGCAATAGAGCTGTCATCATTCTTAGAGCTTTCTCCAGGAACAAATTTCTTACCATCAGATACAGATCCATACTTAGCATCAGCAACCAAATTATCCTTTAAGGAAGAATCACAGCACGCATCATTTTCAGGCTTCCCAGCTCCACCATCTTTAGGAGGGATGTCTTCCACCACACTTTTATCCTTGCTACTAGTTACAGGAGCAACAGGCTGTCCCCCTGGTGCCCATATGGTTTTGGGGTATAGAGTCAGAAAAGAACAAACTGCTGAGCATGCCTTGCATATGAAATCTTCATAAAGAGGCTCCCCTTCCTCATCTCTAGGAATCTGTCATACAAGTATTTTCAGCTCATAATCATTGCCCAGCAATAACTCAAAGAATAGTGCAAAAACTACAGCTAAGTGATAGTCTTTTTGTCACTTCTTCCTCTCAACTTGCCTATTTTACACTGCAAAACTTGAGCTAAACTAATCATGAAAATGTGTCAATGGAAACATCCTTCAAACTGATAAATTATGATCACAATTTATAAAAGTAGAAATGTTCACTGAATATATCAACGTTTGTTTTCGAATAATTAGAACCCATACCCATCTTTAAAGAGACAAGTTCTGGTGAAGCAAGCACATTGCAAGTAATCATAACTATAAGAAAAACTATGGCAAACATTAACATGAACCTACTGTACAGGGCATCTCTAGATTTGCCAATGATTTTGGCAAACATTAACATGAACCTACTGTACAGGGCATCTCTAGATTTGCCAATGATTTTAACAAAAAAAAACAAAACTTAGATATGAACATGTAGAAGGACATGCACACAGCTTACCGACCTCATTGGGAGAGTTGAGACTGATATGCTCCTCATGAAACCAGTCCTCACACATACAGCACTGTATCATCTCTACTTGTTCCTGGAGATCTGGATCTGGATAGGGGCGATTGCAGGTGCAGTATAAACCTTTAAAATTGTGATTATATGAATTCTTGATATTCTCTACATCTTTATTTGGGAAAAGCTTGCATGAGAACTCCCCAAATTTTGAATTTCCGCAGTCACACCTAAAATTTCTCTTGGTCCAAAGCTCCAAAACCTTGCATATATTGCAAAAATGAAAACCTCCACTGAATATAAGCAGACAGAAGCTAACAGCATAAAACATTTATACAAAGAAAAAGAAGTAAAATAAACACATTCTTGAGAAGTTAGGCATACTTAAAATTCCAGCATAACATACATAACTTATGTCCAGTACTCAAGTAGGCATGTGGAATTTCAAATGACCATAAGAACTAATCAGAAAGAAAATCTTGCATGTCCCATGTTAAAACCAATCGTGATTGTTAAATCAATCAATGAGTTCTTCCATTATCAAATATACAAAAAGGCAATACCCATTATGATCCCAGAAACGCACATACTGGATAGATAATAAGGATATAGCTTGAAACCCCTCTCAAAAAGCAGAGTCAGAAATTGGAAATGATTAGCGGTGTGAATTGTTAATGTGGTTAATGCTGAAGCTGCAAAAAAGTCAATATTATTCCAATTTAAAACAAATAAGAACATAACAAGGCCACACTAGTTAGGAATATCATGATAATAGGAAAGGTATCCCAAATCAATCATCATATTTACTACAAGATAACTTGCTAAACCAGCTCGTAACAGGAAGCATGACCCCACAAAGTGCAAATTATTAGAGACAACTCAAAAGGTCATGGTCTGAAGAAAGCAAAAAACACAACATGAAGTTCCACTTTAATAAATCATAATTTAACTCACATCTTAAGGGTCATATCATTAACAACAAACTAAAGATTAGCATTCAGAATGAAAAATACAACTAAAGAATAATGCAGAGGAGAAATACCTCATGGCCATCATGGCAAGACAAGCAGCAAGCAGTGCAAATTCCAGCATTCCCATTTGGGGTGCATGTCACGCATGAGAAGATTGCCTGTCTCTTCATGTAGCCCTTAGAATAGGTACACTCATCACCCTCATCTCCACCCAAAACCAGGTCTGCTTCCTTTAGATTAAAAAAATAACAAATTAACTGATGTCGAGAAACATATAGCTTAAAGAAGCACAACAATATCGATAAAATCAACCAATTGCTAGTTCAATTTATATTTAAGAATCGTTTGCATTCAATACTTTCCCAATTTCAACTTAGGATATAAGTTATATTTGAATGGTCCCAAACTAGCTTGCATACAAATCTTAACAATACAAATTTGAATGGTCCCAAACTAACTTCTAAGCTAGTGTAATATTAACAATACAAATCTTCATCTCATAAAATTTTCTCAAAATTTAATCACTGTTACAGAATAGTTCAACTATAAAGTCATCTCAACCAAATTTCTGCTCCAGAAAAGCTGACAAAATTTTGATGTTATTGTTTCCAACCAGAACAGGACAAAAGACTTATGTCCTAAATCTTCCATGCCACAAACCAGACGAAACAACAAGCACTAACTAAACTCAATCATTCCCTCATACCCAAATAGCAAAAGCAAAACCCTAAGGGATAAAGAGGGAGGGGGGGGGGGGGGGGGAGACTTTTTACCAGTCTCTTCTTCGTGCTCTCAAGATACTCGTTGATTGACATGGTCTGCTCACCATCATCGTCGAACTCGGCCGACATTTTCCCCAGATCACCAGGATCCTCAATATCAAAATCTCCACTCCTCGCACCTGAAATTCAATGCAAAAAGGAAGGAAAAAAATAGAAGGAATTTAGGGAAACATTTCTGAAAGTAAACGGATATTTCTATTTTACTCGTTTGGGGAAACCTCGAGTAGTTCCCCGTAACCAGAAACCCTAACATTGAAAAAAAAAAAAGTTACCTTTCTAATCTCGCAATTAACAGATTTTCAGGCGGCTGATCAGGGATTAGACTGTTGATTTAGCGATTTAGATTTCGGTTGGAGAAACGCGAAGGGGAAAATGATAAGAGATGCACAACGTTTGGGGATTGAGAATTTGAGATAGGAGGAGGCATGGTTCATATATACAAGTAAAATAAAGTGGCAAGGAGGTGCGTACGGACATTTTCCCGCCACAATTGTGCCCTAGTGGAATCAAATTACGTGGTCCGTTCCCTCCAATTTGTTGATTATTAGTATTTTCATTTTTTCTCATTCATCTCCAAATTCTTATAATTGGGACAATTTTTTTTTTTGAAATATAAAAAATTTAAAGTTTTTCTTGTACCTTGATTATTGTCTTTTATCATGGAACCATTATTTTTTTTCAAAAACCTAACTTGACGATGTATGTTGTCGTGCCACTGTTAGGAAGGACTTCCACGACAACATACTACCATATATGAATTAATAAATAAAACGTAAATCTTTTTGAAATTGGCTAACGTTAGGATATTGTTTGATACAAATACAATTTTGAATGGTTCACTTTTTTAAAAAGGTAAAGTAATTTTTTTAGTAATATTTTAGTTTATTTTTTTATAGAAATCAAAGCCAAATTTAAACCATTCCACCTAGTTGCATACTTGCTTGCCTTTTTGCTTTTAAGTGTAATAAGTAACTAAAGTTCTTAGTTGATTGACCGTGTAAGATTCATGACATGGACGTTCGTAGGTAAATATTGATAAACAATAATGTGGTGAAGTTTCCTTACCAAGCATCCCAACAATCAAAATTTAAGACACAAAAACTCTTAAGCCTCGTGATAGAAGAGTAAGATTTATGACGTGAAATAAAAAAAAATGAAAAAGATAATTATGTGATGAGGCTTTAGTTTAGGTCCAATGGGCGATCCAGCATTTAGATTTTCCAATTCAAACGTTTGTGGTCCAGTACTGCTTTGAGCCGCAACTGAACCCAACTTCTCTTCAAGCTGAAAACGATACGACCCAAGCACCCAACTCCGAACAGGCGGAAGTCCGTGGTTGAAGACTCAAATTTCTTGGAGGCTTTACTTGGACTACACCGGCTTCAGCCCAATGAGTACGAGGCTGTGACGCAGTTTCGCTTAATATGGAGGCTACTGGCAGGGTGGCTTAAACGCCGACGTATTTGGCAGATTCACATGATCAGGTTTAATGACCGGCAGCTATGCTAAAGCTACTCTCTGAGTCTGAGGTCTAAGCAAGCTTTGGTCTTTAATCTTTACTTGGTATTTCGGTCAAGCAGTGATTGCGATATGGACAAAGCTATGGTCTTGTTGGCCTCAAAATCCATGAATAGATGCTTTGAAATTAATAGTGGAGGAAAATAAACTTCGTTTGGAATATAATTATATTTTTTAATTATAATATCAAGTTTTTTTCTAGTAAATCTTCCTACATTTTACAATTAATAATTAAAAAAATTGAAGAAATAAACGCCAAGTCATGTGAAGTAACCATCCAAACCTTATATTGGTGAACTCCGTAATCTTATACAATAGTTAAAACTTGACGTGGCAAAAACAGAAAGGTAGCGACCGCGTCTATTCTGCGGAAAATAAGCTGCAGTGATGATGCAAGCCTTTGATTAATAATGCATCGGCTGATTTTTCTATTCTATGTTTCTTCATTGACTGATTCACAATTGCAGGAAAAGTTTACAAAATTCCATTTTTTTAATCAATAATTTTACCGAAATGGTTCAACACGTTTCTGACTTGATTTCACTGCACACTAAAATATGGAAAAAATGAGTGTGGAAGAACAGAAAGCAAAGAAAATGAGAAATGAACATGATAGTTTTCGATATTGTTTTCCATTGTTTGAACTTTGAATTGGTCTGTTTTAATAGGACACAAAGACTTGAAAGCAAATTAAGTTGACTAAAAATGAGAGCAAGGAAAGAAAAATAAAAATGATATAATATTTAAAAATTTATAAATTATTTAAAAATTTTTAAATAATTTTTTATTATTTATTATTTTTAATCAAATTTTTATATTTTTATTTTATTTAAATAAATATTTATAATTAATGATTAATTAATTATTGTTAGTCAAATTTTCACTTATCATTTTATATTTACATAATGTTAATATGTAAAGAATAAAAAATATTATATGATAATATTATCATGCTATATTAACATGTCACGTTATAATTTATTATGGTATATCAGAGTGCTATGTTACTGTCATTAATATAAAATGATACATAACATTTTGATTAAATTAACTATTAATAATAAAAATTTATTTGATTTAAAATAAAAATATAAAAATTTAATTAAATATAATAAAAAATAAAAAGTTATTTATACCAAATTCTCTTGTTGATCCATTATCGAACACTTGTAGCGAGAACATCTAAACCGTTGGTATGCTATGGCAAACTCGAATCATGATACTAACGTGTTACCATCTTTGTAATTTTATGTTGATTATTTTGACTAATTAATTTTTTAATTAGATGCCAATGTTTGTTTACTATTTGCTTTGCAATCGGATGAAAAGATCCTCAAAGGGTGTGGGAGCCTGATTTAAACAGCCGATTAATTAAATGTATGGTGAAACGTCAGGGAATACCTTAATCATCAATTTTTATCTATTGGTACAAAATTTTCAAACCTATAATTAATACACTTAAATATTCATAAATTCTTAAAAACCCAACCCATTAGTTTAATTATCCTATTAAGTTTCCCACTAGCATCGTCCTCTATGCTAGGTTTATACTTAATTCTTCATTGTTTGACTATGTCAACAATCTAATACTCCAATTGTAAATACTTACAAGGTAAAATTACAGTTTTAAATAAAAAAATTATAATATTTTTAAAATTTTAATTTTTTAATTAATTAAATTTTTATATTTTTATTTTAAATTAAATAATAATTATGATTAACAATTGATTAATTATTATAAATTAAAATAATATATTAATGTGACATAATGGTATGATTACATGATATTTCATCATTCATTTTTTGAATAATGATAATTAATTAATAATTAGTTATAAGAATTTATATAATTTAAAATTAAAATATAAAAATTTAATTAAATGTAATAACAAAATAAATATTTATTTAAAAATTTTTAAATAATTAAAATGTTTTTTAACAAATAATGTAAAAAAATAAACACACCTCGGTGGAGGAGGAGAGAAGAAGAGATTTACTTCCTTTGACAGTTACAAGAACTTGAGCGCCCAAAAAATATGACACTAAAAAGAACCAAATTTCCAAAGTAACATCAGTTTATCGACTTGTCCAACTGAGCCATATAAACCTGATCGTAAAAACTGCACCGCTCTCCAATTGAAGAGAAACCATCCAAATTTCCACGCCAATCCTCTTTTAAGTCCTAACTTGAAAGCCTCTAGGCAATGGCCCCCTAGCTAGTTAAATCCCGAAGCAACAAAAGCCCTCATCACGTTTACATTTTTCTAGAAGCAAGAAGATGCCTCACCTAACGTTTCTTTGGCTCCTCTGCTTTTCACTCTTCCTTCAAGAACCAACGAGTGCTCAAACTTGTCCATCTTCATGCCCAGGCGGTGAATCAGAGGTTAAGTTTCCTTTCGGGCTGAACCCTAACGGTAACCGAAATGGTCGTTGCAGCTATCCAGGTTTTGGTCTTTCCTGCAGCAATAAAACGGGAGCACTAGTTCTTAACCTCCCGGAATCCGGAGAATTCAGAGTCAGTTTCATCGATTACGAGACCCAACAGATATGGATCAACGACCCTGATTTCTGTCTCCCTAAACGGTTCATGGAGTCTTTCGATATATCAGGAACTCCTTTTGTCTCAAAATTCTGGTATACCTTCACGTTCTTCAATTGCTCTACGGAAGAAGTAGCTGGGGCTGGGTTAAGGCGAATTCCATGTCTTAGCAATGATAATTACTCTGTTGTAGCTTACGAAACCGACTCTTTTGTGGATTCTGCCAGTGGTTTGCAGTCTACATGTCATTCTATAAAGACCGTTACTGTTCCATTTGCTTGGTATGGCTGGGTGGAAGGGGTCCGGTTAGAGTGGTACAAACCCGATTGTAGGTCATGTGTTGAACGTCGAGGGGATTGTGGATTCAAGAATAGAACTAGTCAGGAAATTGGGTGCTTTAATCTG